GCTTCCTAAAAACGATATAAATTTTATAATGAATTGCCTAAATTAAAAATGAAAAAATATTACCTTTTTTATTAAGCACATCACAATCTTATGGATTTATATTTAAAGCACTATCATGGCACTTAATGGCTTCTTCAAAACGATTTAATTTATATAATGCAACTCTTAAATTACGTATAAAAAAAATCGGTTACCTTTGTTATTGAATGCTAAACAATTATTAGGATTGATATTTAAAGCTTAATCGTGGCACTTAATATCTTCTTCAAAACGATTCAATTAATATAATGCATTGCCTAAAATAAAAAAAATAAAAAATTCAAATACCTTTGTTATTGAATGCTAAACAATTGTTAGGATTGATTTTTATAGCATTATCAAAGCACTAAAGGGCTTTCTCATAATTAATTTAATTTAGTAATGAATTGCCTTGATTAATATTATAAATAAATTGATTCATCCTTTAGGAGATAATTTTCTGCTCTAATATTAGGATTTAAGTTATTTGAGGAAGGGTTTATTTAGATTATCCAAATTACTATATCATCAAGAATTTAATAGATCCATTGATTAGTCTGTTGGGTGAAAATTTATTTTGATATCAATCTCGCAAGGATTGGATGTAATAATAAATTTTTGGTACGCTTATAATACATATAAGGGGAAGACTTAATCGGCTTGTAAGAATTGGTATACCTAGGCCATTTATCATCATTATATTATAAAAACTATCTCAACCAATTTTCATGCAGTTTTTATCTGTAATTATCTAACAAAGTAATTTTTCTCATATTCATTATTTCAACTCTCATGGATTAGACCCTGAGGTTTCAATCATGTGCTTATTTGATTTCAAGTATATCGTAACTCAATATCAGTTATAAATGCTTAACATATTGTTTTAATTAATATATTTTATCAGAATAACTTATCGAAGCTAGAAGCAAAGCAAAGTGATTTGCTTATTTGAATATTTTCTTTTCTTAACTATACAAATAAAAAGCTAATTGAAAAAACAATATTTTTAGTCATTCCTCAATATAAATTTGACAAATTGAATGAATTATATTAATCAATAAATATAGATATTAACTAGAAAGTTTTTTTTGCTCCAATAAATTCTCAAAAATACTAATTGATATAATAATTTCTAAAAGTAATGTCAAACTTACTCAAACCCTGCTATTGTTTTAGTTCTTTATATATAATTTCTTGAAAACTAATCATTGATATTTAATTAATAATATGGTATAATCCTGAGAATTAATATCATATATAAATAAAAATTAAATCATGTTCAGAAGATTGTGTAATAGAAATTAATTATAGGTATAGACCTGAAATTTACTGTTTAATAAAGTTCTTAAAAGTCAAATCGCAACAATAAACGAATTTGAAATACTTGATTATGATTCTTTGATTTCACAATAAATTATTCAGGAAAAAAATGTATTATTTATTAATGTGATTATATGCATGTATTTAATAGTATTTGAGACAATCAAAACAATTATAACTCATATTTGAGTATTAAATATATAGAGGTTAGGATGTCACATTTGAATTTTCAATTTATTATGATAATTTTTCTCCATTTTTAAAAGGCTAAACAAAATTAAAGTTATGTACTTGTTATAAAATTAATAAAGTAAAGTAAACTCATAATTAATTTGACTCGTATCTAAAAAGACATACAATTAGTATATTTACCAAAATTTAACATTACTAGAAAGATTTTACTTAGTTCTGATTATAATAGATCATATTTACTTACTTTACTACCTAAAACATATTTGATCTTATAATTAAAACAAAATTAAATAAAAAAGTTGATGACTAAATTATTCTCAAAATAAAATTAAGAAATTTATAAGAAACTTATGCAAAATTAATAATTACTTTGCGGAAGTCAAAGTCTTGTAAGCTCTAATATTGATTGAAGTAGATTCTTTTATTTTAGTTTCCAAAAAAAATTTATTACAAGTGATTAAAGAATGAATTGAAATTTATTCAAACAAATATTTTATATGATGCATCACATTAATTGGATTGATAATACTAGTGTATTTTTATATTTAGAAATTAAAGAACAAAAGAAATAATATTAATATATTAGATATGATGATAAATTTTTGTTATAATTGTCTAGTATTAATAATAATCTGGCAATTATATTTTTCCACAAATAGTGATTTATAATGGGTATTTCTTAATAAAATATGTGTAATTAATAATAATTAAATCATTTTATAAATCATTAAAATTTATAATAAGCTTCAACTTTTATTAAATATAATCCTGTATTTCTTGTATTGCCTGCAGTATTATATATTCTAAAGGATCCAACTATTTAATCTGGAAATGTAATTGTTACTATGCTTTATGCTAAATTACTATCATAAATCAATGTTTCAGTATTTTCTAATTTTATAAACACTTTTATTGTAGAAAATCTATAATCTCCATCCCACAACCAGATTTTTAAAGTATTTAATTCA